GATAAATGGGCTGGAAAAGACCAGAGCACTCTTTTACTACAATATTTAATATGAACAGTGCCTAAGCTTCAGAATAGGGATGCAAAGATTAAAGTTTTTCAGACTGAGGATGAGTATGATTTTTGGAAATCGTTGATACTACTATGGACACCAATACTGATACTGAAATGAGAAACCTACTTATTATTAATCAATCAGGAACAGCATGGAATATTTTATTCAACTCTGTTTATGTTTCTCTGTATAAAAACTGTCCACAGAAAGTGTGTATGTGTGTTCATGCACTTACGCAACTAGGATCGTTGTTTATAATGTTAGCAAGTTGATTTTAAATGAAGTGCCTTAGCTAGCTACATTATTGAACTTGGATTAAGAAGCATGAGTTTTGTTTTACTTCGGAAAAGCGTTTCTGTACAGCTGTAATTAAAGTGTGTTTTTGCTTTCGTTGCATCATAGTCCCTCATTGTCAATGACCGATACATCATACTGGGTAAGGTGTGTTATTTACACTCACCTAGCATTATCTGCACCTAGCCTTTTCTTCTAATTGCAGCTTTTGTGGTATACGAGGAATAATACACTTTGTGCCGTTCTGATTTAGGAAAATAATCAACTTCAGGGTGGTAACAGTAACTGGTTCATCACACTGACTGTTTTCTTGTAACAGTATGACATATAATTTCAATTATTGATATTTACACACAGCTGGGATTGAAAATATCTTAAAATTAAATCAGTGGTACACTTGCTAAAGAGTTGTTTCAAGAAATGACAAACACTAGAGCTAGAAGATAAGAATAAGAAAGCTGGTACATATTGAGGCTTAACACAATGAATTTAAGTTTAGAACCTCAAGAGATTGTCTGAATATTTAACTAATTTTGTATGGCATTAATTAGACTATTACGTGAGTAGTCTGGATCACTAAATCACTGGTTTAAATAATTTTTCCTCCTGTGTAAGTCCTACGTGGTCTGATAACAGGGCATAATTATCCCCAAAACTTGAGGCATTTGTTTATGAAAGGATGCAAAATCTGCCTTCAGTACCACATTTCCATTTTCATGCTTCTATCTCACTCAGAACATATGATTACCGTGGCGGGTAAAAGGAAAGCGTCATAAATGGCCTGATGTGTTATTGCTTGCACATCTGCCAAGCTGTTCATAACTGATTGTGAGTAATTAATGTCTCCAGCCAAGTGTGAGGAAATGCCGTCTGGTGTCCTGCTCGAATTTAATCCAGAAGAATTAAAAAAAGCAGCCAAATTCACAGCAGAGATGATATCCTGCCAGTGTGATGTCTCTTCTTTGGCAATTTTGCGTCTTGATAGATTGAATAAGAACAACAAATGTGCTTTATCACCCAATTTTATGTACCTCATCAGTTTTTATATGGAAGAGAAATTAAATGAAAAAAAAAACATAGTAGATGTATTCACTTTATTACTGGAAGATTCTGCTTAGCATAATGTATTTAGAGATCGCTATGTAAAACAGGTAGACACAACAATTTTTGTGTTTATGTGTTTAGGAAGTAAAGCATATAACACTTTTGGTTCAGAAAATATTCAAAATCTCCAGGTTTCACAGGCAGTTTCATGAATCATGAAGATCAGCGATTAGAATGTTTTATTCCCCTTAGAGAGATCGAACTAATTTCACTAATTTCCTCATCTAATCATCAACTTGTATACTAGACCCGTTACCTACATGTTTCTTCAAACAGATAATTCCAGATAATGGTGACTTCTCTACGCATGCTAAGGTAAAGTTTGGTGTTCTGCAAGGTTCTGTTTTAGGCCCACTGCTCTTTTCTTTATATATGCTACCTCTGGGCAAAATTATTCGTAAACATGGTGTTAGCTTTCACGGTTATCCTGATGACACACAGCTGTATGTTTCAGCAAAGACAGACACCAGCTTAATAAGGTTGAGGAATGTGTATAGGACATTATAACATAACTTCTTTTTACTTAATTCTGACAAGACAGAAGTACTTGTACTAGGACCACATGCAGCTAGAAGTAAGCATTCTGATTACATAGTAACTCTGGATGGCCTTTGTGTTTCATCATGTGCAGCAGTAAAAGACCTTGGTGTGATTATTGGCCACAGTCTTTCCTTTGAAGCTCATGTAGATAATATTACTAGGATAGCCTTTTTTTCATCCCAGAAATATTGCTAAGATAGGAAATATAATGTCACTACACAATGCAGAAAATTAGTTCATGTTTTTGTTACCTCTAGGTTGGATTATTGTAATGCCTTACTGTCTGGATGTTCCAGTAGGAGCATAAACAAGCTCCAGTTAGTCCAGAATGCAGCAGTGAGAGTCCTTACTAGAACCAGAAGATATGACCACATCACCCCTATCTTATCCACACTACATTGGCTCCCAGTCAAATTTTGCATTGATTATAAAATACTACTATTGACCTGTAAAGCACTGAATGGACTCGTGCCTCAGCACCTGAGCGAACTTTTGGTCTTTTATGATCCAGCACGCCTACTTCGCTCAAAAGGCGCAGGCTATTTTCAATTCAATTCAATTCAGTTTATTTGTATAGCGCTTTTTACAATGTCATTGTCTCAAAGCAGCTTTACACAAACAAAAAAGTAAGATGAAGTGTGAGAGTGTGTCTGAAGAGCAAGCCGAGGCGACGGTGGCAAGGAAAAACTCCCTGAGATGGAGATAGGAAGAAACCTTGAGAGGAACCAGACTCAACAGA